AAAAAAAAAAATAAACCAAACAAAAACAAAAAACAAAAAAAGAACATAGTACAACTGAACGATAGTAGCAATAGTAATAAGAAACACACAAAAGAAGAGAGGAATGAGAAAAACACTCCGGCGATGTAACGCCTGTGGATCTCCTCCTGCTTTTTCTGCAGGAATTCCCTCTTTTAACTCCACACCTGTGCGGTTCTGTTACGTCTGCGGGTCTTCCTTGCGGCCTTCAGCAACTAAAGAAAAAGAAAAAGAAAAAGAAGAAAAAGAAGATGTGATGTTGACATTGCCGATGAATACAGAGTGGAAGAATCCCACATTAGTGAAGAAAAATCCCTTTTCTCTGCAGGATGTACTGAAGATACTCTGGAGACAACTGCAGTCGTGGGGACCGCACACACTTATCCACTGTTTACCGTGTTCCACTGTAGACAAGGAACATTCATCCACTGATGCTCATCCCTTAGTGGGAATGAATAGATATAATGTTGAGAAAACCACTAGAGCTGTTCATACGGAAAAACCACCAGTCTTTTATGCCTGGCCACTCGAGTCCTGCAGTACAGTGGAAGAAGAAGAAAGTAAAGAGATGAAGTTTATCAAAGAAGATACCCCGTCTTCCTCTTTATTTGTTCAACTTCAGATAATATACAAAATACTTGCGGAAGTCATTTTAGAGTATAATACAGTTCTCTCATCATTACAGTTAAGATATACGAATGAAGGAAATATGTGGCGAACGTATGTTTCTACACTAAAGGATGAACTTCGTCAAAAGAATGAAGAACATGTGGCACTTTTAAAACGTGTATTGTATTTAGAACGTGAACTCTCTCTACAGAATGAGAGGCACAAACGAGAATTGTTAGAGGAGAGATGCAAACGTGAGGAGGAGCATCAATGGTCTTTGAATATGAAACAACAACAAGAAGATAATCTTACTGAGGCGTATCATTTCTTGCGTGACACACTCGTACATGGAAAACGCCATATACATTGAGTTCATATATATATAATTATATATATATATATATATATAATTATTCTTTCTCTCCCAAAATTTTACTCGTTTATTGTTCTTGTTGTTGTTGTTGTTGTTGATTCTATGTATGTATTTAATTTTTTTTGTATTCTTACCCACCTATCTACCTCTTTTTTTTTTTTTTTCTTTATCTCTCATACACCCCTGCAATGGGGAAAAACGAAAGAAGAGTATAATAATAATAATAATAATAATAACACCAAATCCAACAACTAGGAAAACGCTCGCGTTACACAAAGCAAAACAAAACCAAAAAAGAAAGAAAAAAAACAAAAAATAAGAAAATCATTCAATAAGAACTCATTGAAAAGAAGGAGGTTGTGGGGGGTTTAGTGCTCTTCCGCATGGAGTACTCCCCACGACTGCGGCGGTATGCAAAGACGGAGACAATGCGGACGTATAATGCCGATCTTGCTTACCGCATGCAACCACTTTGCCCTTTGGCATCTACAATGATGTACATGAATCACACATCATATAAAAACGAGTTAAATTCTCACAATAATAATCTTTCTTCTTTTCCTTCTGGTGATGAGGGTAAATTGACTGCAGAAGATACGATTAGTGTAGATATTCACGATGAGTCACCTGCTCAAGCCACACATGTACCTCTTGATTTCCCATTAACGTATGCTGATGTGTATACTTCTTCTTTTTCTATAAGCCGTGAACTTAATGGTCATACGGGATGTGTAAATTCACTTTCGTTAAATAGTTCAGGTGAATTATTATTATCTGGATCTGATGATCTTTCTCTTTGTCTCTATGATACATGTGATTGGACGTTACGAAACCGTTTCCGTACAATGCATCGTTCTAATATATTTGATGCTGTTTTCCTTCCAGGTAATGAAAGATGTGTACTCTCATGTGCACTGGATGGACATACCTTACTCACAGATTTGGAAAGGGCAGAACCTTTTTATAAATGTCGTCATATGTGTATGGCTTCATCCATAGCAACATCCGTATGGTGGCCAGAAACAGCTTATGTTGCATATTCTAATGGAGTAATAGCTCGTGTGGATACCCGTTTACGTTCTTCTTATAATCAACCCCCAGATGTTGGAAATCCCTGTATTAGAGAAGTAACTCAAGTGCGAGCATTAGCTGTTCATGAACGTTGGCCTTTTTTAATTGCCTCCGGTACAAATACCTCACGTGTATATTTTCATGATGTGCGAATGGGATTCCTTGGGGCTTTTGCCTCTATGTCTATTTCAAGTGTTCATTGGAGTGATGGAGTTAGTGGACTTGCATTTAGTGATGCTGGTGATTGGTTAGCGGTTAATTACCGTCGTCAAGATATTTATGCCGTTCCTTGGTTGGAAACTTTGTATTCCCCTCAAAAAGAAGAAATTCTTTATGGTGATTCTAATGAATGTGGAAATAGTTTTGAACGTCTTTTAGGAATGGGAACAAAGAGTACATTACCAGATGTAATTGCACATAATACGTTGCGTTTACGAGGACGAGAAAATCATCAAACTATGTTTAAAGAAGTTGCTTTCATGGAAAATGATAATATTATATGCTCTGGAGGTGATTGTGGTAAAGTATATTTTTGGTCTTTACGAAATGGGAATTTATTACACAGTACACAAGGTGATTCTGATATTGTAAATGCAGTTGTATATAATAAACGTACGGGTGCTTTACTTTCCTCTGGTATTGATGCCACGGTAAAGGTACTGGAATCCAATGGTTGTTTACGGAAACAAGAAATACCTCAAGAAACCCGTGAAGTAGGAATAGGAGTAAGAGTAGGAGGAGAAGAAGAAGAACAACAACAACAACAAACTGTAGGTGAAGTTGCGGTGGAAGTACCGGTTACTTCTTTGGTAATGCAGTATGTAACGGATATTACCGATATTGGTTCTGAAATACATCTATACTCTAATTTTATTTTTAGTTCAGAGTCAGAAGATAGTAGTGATGAACTTTTTCAATCTAATAGTCTTGATAGTGATGCTGAAGTCGTACCTCCATGGCGGAGGCCTAATGATTTAAGCTCTACACAAACTATATTTGATGCTTATAGAAAATGTGCATGTAAGCAGTTTGATCTTGTACAAAAGTTACAGTTTTCTACAGGTCCTCGGGATTTGCGTCAATTTGTGAAAATGATGCGAATGTTATTGGATATGGCTAATCGTGGTAACCTTGGAATTGATGCCATGACGAATTGGACAACTCTTTCAGCTCCAGAAGAGTCATCTGAACTTGAAATATCTAGTGATAATGAGGAAAACTATGGTCCTTTTTCATTTATTGATGATATTGCTCTTTTGCGTGATCTTGAGGATTCTTCCTTAAGTGATATTCTTTTAGGGGAGAATAGGTCAGAGGAATATAATAATAATAATAATAATAATAATAATAATAATAATAATAATAATAATAATAACAGTGGTAATGAAGATGATATTTCTGTATTAATTGAAACGGATGAGAGTATACTTGAAGAAGACCAAGCTCCGATAATTAGTTTTATTAGACGTCGTCGAATCTTGGGTACGCGAGGGATGAATCTTGATACTACTTCGGTATCATTATTCCCAATAATGTGTAATGCGTTTTATGCCGTAAAGCGATTTCTCGATATTGCTTTTCGTCTATGGAGAGTACCTGGTCTTGGAAAAGTTCAAATACCTCGCTGGAATAGATGTCGATGGGGAACTGTTCCTTATACCTCGGGATTTGTAGATAATGAATATTTTGATGGATTTCCAGAAGGTGGGATGGATCCACCTTTTTTACGGAGTTTAAATGAGAATGAAGAGGTATCATCTGCTGCAATATATGATAATGATGGGGGATCTACAGAAGAGGTGAACACCACAACTGGACGTGCAAAAGTTATTTATCTTTTATATATAATGGATTTCCTCTTAAAAGGTAAAGAATGCTTATTTACCACAACGAAAGAACGTTGTCGATACTGGCAGTTTCGTTGTATATTGGAACTCTGTTATGTTTACTATTATATGGCGATTGGAGATATGGAGATGGCATTAGAACGAGTGAACCGATTGGAGCGGCACGCGGAATATCGTTGCGTAACGGCATTAGGGTCTGTAAGTAAGGCGTATGTACTTCGACAACAGGCTTCTCAAGAAAAACGACAGAAGAAGAGAGAAGAGGAACGATCTGAAGAGATTAATAATAATAATAATACTAATAATAATAATAATAATAATAATAATAAAACGACGACGATATTGGAATTACCCAAGTCACTGGATTCAACTTGTTTTCCTCCATTATTGGTTCCATTGGCACTTGAAATTCGCATATTAGTACTCTCTCAACGCGCTAAAACTACTTGTTCATATGTTAGTGGTTTCTCTAATTATCATACTGGAGTGACAGGATTGGAAGATGAAGAAGAAGAGGAAAGTAATACTCAAGAGGAAGAAGAGGAAGAAAAAAAAAAGAGCGCAGTTCAGTCTGAACAACGCATATCTATGCTAGTAGAAGAGATGAGAAGGCGACTTAACGGGCATCCGAATCGAAGAGTAAGTCGAAAGGTTATATCTATGCTTAAAGATCTTCAGATCATGCTATAGTAAAGTTTTTTCTTGTTTGGAATGTTAGTAATAAAGGTATATTGAGACGTTAGTGATATCAATTTTTTGAAAGTGTGATGCATATTGCGAAAGAGGTGAATCAACCAGTAAATAATTATGATAATGATAATAAGGAAGATGAATAATTAAGTAAATGGACCACGTAAAAAAAAAAAAAAGAAACAAAGCGAATATATATATATATATATATATATATATATTTTGCGGGGATCATTTCAACTGTAGTGTCTCTTCTGGTTGTTATCATCATCATCATTATCATTATCATCATCTTTATCCCTTTGGAAATTAAAAGAAACAGGAATACATCCTTACCCACAACTACATTATATACATGCAGCTATATTTATATACATCCGTGTCTCCCTATATATAGAGGGATTGATTTGTTGGGATAAGGAAAACAACAAAAAATTTTTCACAATCAATATTGGGATAAAGCTAATAAATAGTATGGCAAGTGTTTACATGACGCAGCAATTTTAGTCGTTCATTCATTGCTTTATTTGCCTCTTTTTTTCTTTTTTTTCTTGCTTGAATATATTACGGTTTAGTTATTTTAATTTACTGAGGTTGGTATTCTTCCATCTCACTGCATTTTTTTTTTTTTTTTGCTATACGGGGCGGAATTTTCTCTCTCCCTCTCCCTCTATCTCTCTTCACCGATGTGAAGAAGAGAAGGGGGAGTAATATATTTCATTTGTTTGTTTTTTTCCTTTTGTTTCTCTACATTTTATTCTGGCTATGGCTCCACGTCCTCTCCTTTTCCTTCCCTATCACCTTTATTATTATTATTATTATTATTATTATTATTATTATTATTATTATTATTATATTATATTATTATTATTATTATTATTATTATTATTATTATTATATTCTTCCGTTGCTCTTATGTGGGGTGACGAATCCCCATGAATGAGTCCTGTTGAGGATCTTATTGCTTTATCTATATATATATGATATCTATTGTATCCCTTTCTTGTTCTTCTTTCTTATACTTAAATATCTGAGAACATCTAAAGAGGAGAGAGAGGCTTGCGTAGGCAGTCTCTGAACATCCCAAACGCAAAAGGGGGAGGACTTTAAGCAGGAAATTTCTCTACCCAGAGAGAGGGAGAGTGAGAGAGTGAGAAAGAAAAATAAAAAAAAAATAAGAGAGAAACTTTCTTTCTCCTTCTCTCTCTCTCTCTCTGCCTGACTGTCTGTGTCTGTGTTCTTGTCTCTGTTTGTAATTAAATGAAGGGTGTGGGATTGCGGCAACGGCAACGCCCGGCAGTGAAGCCGAATGCGGCTGCTCGTAGTGAAGCACCAGTGACAGTTGTATTCCGTGCCCATACAGACAGTCTCGCTAAAGCGCCTTTTCTCTACTGCCCAAAGAACTACTCTCTTCCCATGCCATCTTCACAAGAACAATTTACAGAGGCTATCATTGAACTGTTTATACCGAGTTGTGGTAACAGTAATTCCAATGGTTCTAATACGGCTACTACTACAACAACTAGTAGTAGTAATACTAATAATAATAATAATACCAATACCACTATATGTGTTGGTGGTAATAGTAGTAATAAGAACTCTTCCAGTGGCAATCAATACCGCCAACAACATCACGGAGTTGGGAGTGGCAGAAACATGTCGCCATCTACCACCTTATTGTCCTCTTGCACAGAGACTGTTTCTATGAGGGTATCAGCTCCACTCATTTCGGATCCTGGGAGTTCGCAAACTACTCAGCATACAACAAAAACTACAGTGGCAACAACAACAACAACAATGATAACGACGACAATAATGGGGAATTCTGGTAGTGATACATTTCCATCAGATTCACAACGTATTGTGAGTAATACTCCATTTGCTGCCACCTCAAACTACGATACCTGGGTTTGTCGGGCGTATTGTTTTGGTGAGAAGGACGCTCTACATGCGAATGGTGCTATTAGTGTACACCAATCATTGGCAAATAAGAGTCAGTTTATTAACGATATTACAAAAGGTAAGGCCATAGCACGTGTTGTGCCGACGTATACTGAGGTTCGTGAGCGATTTGGTTTATCTCATGTAGAATTGGCTTTTGAAGACCAATCTATTTCTCGTGCTGATATGTTTCTTATTTCAGAAGCGTTGCGTGATGAAATTCTTTACGAGGGACAAGAAGTGACTCTTTGTGGTTTCACCATGAAAGTTAATGAAATGCTCCAAAGTGTGAACCAGAATGGGACAATGGAAGGTAGTGACACAACTAAAACATATCAAGGTGATAACTTCAAGAGTACTGTCAATAATAATAATAATAATAATAATAATAATAATAATAATAATAATAATAATAGTAACAATGACATGTTTGATAATGATGGGGTATTTAAGATGATGGACACCCCTTGGGCTTCAACAAAAAAAATGAAGTCAATGAACACATCCACACAATATCAACAGCAGCAACAACATCAACAAAATCATAACCAGGGTGAGGAGGATGTAGAAAGGAAATTTCGTCGTGTGCGTTGTGGTCTTGTCACAGAGAATACCCTTGTGAATTTTTGCTCTCTTTCTGCCGTTCACTTTATTATTCTGGAGATATCAAAAGAGATGTGGGATCCTACCTTGGATGGTCGTATTACAATTGCCTGGGCTGTAAAAAGGTTTCTGAAGGAGTATTTAATGCAACAAATACCAAAGCATAAAGCTTCTCCACTCATAAACATTTTAATGGTAGGAAGGTTGCATCCAGAGTATGCTATAAATGATAATGTTGATTTCTTACATGAGATGAAAATACCACGTAAAGCCTCTAGTGCCCATATTTCAGAGGAGGTTGGACTTCAATGTGATGTACTTATCGAGCGTATCCTATGCGAGGTACGAGAGACATTGAAGGCTAATCGTAAGTCAGAAAGTGAATCTGATATTCTTGGGGGAAAAGAAAATATTAGTTTTCAACAAGATATCCATCATCATACTACTAATACTAATACTAATAGTAATTCAAAGACAAAAACTGAGGCTGTGAATCGTGGTATGATTTCACCAGATGCAATCACCGAACGAGACCTTTTTGTCCATGCCAAAAATACATGTACTATGGAGACTATTAGTCTTGTACTGGATCGTTGTACACAACAACTTGTAAATGGACAGACGGGGTATATTATTACTGTTGTCTCTGGTGGGAAAGGTCTGTATCAGGTGCGGAATGACCTTCTCCAGGCGACCTGCACTCGACTTTTCAACGCTGGGATTGAGCGTGTGAATATTGTCTGCATTGGCCGCCCCCCACTCCACCTGACGCCGCTGCTGGAGTACATGCCGGACGACGAGACGCTGCGGTCGCAATATCATCTCCACATTGACCAGCAGCCCCGTCGCCTCTACGAGCAGCCGGCGTGGGCGCGGTGTCTCTTCTACCACCCCGTCCCCGACCCCACGTCGACGGGCCGACTGCTCTTCGGGCTCCTCCCGCAGGCCGCGTGGGGGCGGGCGGCAGCCGCAGCGGAGGGACCACCGCCCCCGCACACACGACCGCCACTCCTCCTACCGGTACTCCCTCCAGATACCCCGCAGAATAACCACTTGGATCCATATAAATACTCAACACTAAGTAGAGGGGATTATGCTATGCTTGGCGGCGAAGGTCTCAGGTGGATACATCCTACACAACAACAACAACAACAACAACAGCAGCATCAGCAGCAGTCGGTACATCATCAGGAATCGTCATCCTTTATAAAGGCAGCGTGGTATTCGTTACATGGTAGTGGGGTGTTGCAACAGGATGGATTTAATCGTGATCGTATACTTGAATACGTCATGAAAGAAAAACAAGTATCTTTTTTGGAAACTCGTGCTGGAAGTACAGTCATACCATCTGAGGTAGGTGGTATTATCCCATGTGGAATAAATATTTTAGATAGTGATATACAGAGTGGGTATGTAATTCTTAAGCTTCAAATCAATCAAATGATTTTCCCTAAAGCTAAATGGTCATTGGAATTACTTTCAAATAAAGATACATGGTCAATACTTATGAATGCTTTTTCAGGTAAGGATGATCGTCTCTCAATAGATGAAAAAGAATACTTTAGTTCTCACTTTCGAGCCTCTGAAATATTTTTCCAAGATTACAGTACTATTTCTGAAGATGGTAAGGTACTAGTTCTTGCATCACGACGCAGTGATATTACCTTCTTAACATCTGAAGAAGTTGTCTTTACATTTCATCCTGAATTGTTTGTAGAGTGTGATAATACAACATGCTTTAAAACAACAGTAGCACATGTGCAGATACGAAATAGTATTCTATTTGCTATTAAACCAATTAGTCCATATCGTTCAATAACAACTTCAGGAATTGATTCATCTACCTCACATAATGTTAATACAGATGTCTTATTGCGTCGTCGATGGCAATTCGCCCACCCTGAGTTACCTTCCTCATCTGCTGTTCATTCACCATGGGTTTCATTATGTCATTGTAAAATTCTTCCACTTTATGGAACAAAATCTGCTTATCCACGTGATAGTTTTTTTGTTCTACCTACACATCAATACGCTGTTTCTATTCAAAAGAATATGCAACTACTAGAATACGTCCTTCAACGTTTATTACAACAGTATCAAATAGTTGTTGTGGGTCCTTCTATAGCGGGAGTACAATGGCCACGTGAAGATCCTACCCGAAATGCTCGTTTAGAGATGTCTATTGGTCACCAAATTCATGAATTAAAAATAGCAGAAACAGGTCATGATATTTCAGTAACTCGTATGATGCATCGTGGTATGTATAGTAATGCTCAAGCAACTCATATGATTACATATAAATATCTTCTTTTAAATTACATGAAATCAGGTTTTAGTAGGCGAAAAATACTTTTAGAAACTCAAATTGGTGCAAAACATACTTTTCGATGGGAACAACTTGACTCATATATTCGTGAACGTGAAATTTATGAGGCCTTTATTCCTTCTTCAACAAATTGTTCACTACGTGAAGGTGAAGTATGTGTAGCCTTACTTCCCGAGACTTTTGAAGGTACATCTATTTCATTTGAAGAATTTTTAAAATTTATCCGTTATCGTTTTAGTGTCCATCTTGCTATGTCTAGTCAGATGAAATGGAGAGAAGACTCTTCAGAATTAACGACAAATATACCAGATGATTTTGATTATCCCGATATATTATCACTTCGTCGTGTTGTACTCATGTATGACAATTCACAAGTAACTGAACGACGATGTGTTATGGACCACAAGACTGGGCGAACACTTTCCTTTGATGCACCTGTAAAGAATCGTATGATGTCTGTAGAAATTACCTTACCAGAAGCGTTTAACCCAAAATGTCATTATTTTCTAAAGGTCTCATGGTTAGTATGCATTGCACCAATTGTAACGGATTGGTTTTGTTCGTTTCTAGCTAGTGCTTCTCGGTTTCACTTACGTGCTATACCAATTCCTAACTACTATCACACGGCAAAGGACGAATATTTTGTCTGTAGATTTACTGTACGCGCTAATAGTAGTGAAGAGGAACCACGTTTACGACGACATCTTCTTACTCTCTTGACAAGTTCTAAATACCGATATCTTCCTGATATACCTTCGATGAACCGTAATTGTCGTTTACTGCATTTCAGTGGAATTTGTTACGTTACTTCGAAACCAGAAAATGGTGTGGTGGCTAGATGGTATGAAAACCCAATGTTACCAACGGGGCAGCCAGAGCATCAACAATTACTTCGTGAATTCACAGAAGCTGTACAATTTGTACGTACCGAGCTTGCGTTATCCTAAGACATGCTCATTTTTCCATTAGTTTAAACCTTTATTATTATTATTATTATTATTATTATTATTATTATTATTCCCGCATTAGTTTATCACTTTTTTTTTTTTTTTAATGCCTTCTGATGTACAGGTTTGTGTTCTCATTACTCATTATTATTATTTTTCTTTTTTATTTTTGTCTTCAAATTCTAGTTGCAATTATTTTTCTCTTTTCTAGGAGAGATAACCATCTTGATAACACAAGCGAGAAAAAAAAAAAAAAAAGCGAAATTATCTGATATTTTTCTATTTTATTTATTTTTCATTTATAAAGGTTTATTGATGTGGTCAAAAAATAAGGATAAGGGCCATGAGGAAGAGAAGGTATTGTTCAGTGAATATGGTACACTATATTTCATGAAAGGAGAACGGTACAAAGCCATTTTTGACTCATCGGAGTGTGAACAATGCACCATGAGGATTCTAAGAATATCACGGGAATCCTTTTTTATTCAGGTTTTAGCTGATTTTGATGGTGAGGAGAGTGAAGTACTTATTCAACCTATTGGGTGTGGTCTTTCTTTCGGGTACAGTCGGAAGGCAGGCTCTGTACATTGGCCGGCATATATGGATGGTAAACTGGAATCCATGGCATTCGTATTCTCTGGAGAGAATTCAAGAATGACACCAGAGGATATTACAATGCGCTTTGTGGAGATTTACAATCGTTGTACCTACGCTCTTTTGACATCCTCAGATGTTGATGCGATAACCAATGAGGATGAAGGTTATGAATACATTGGAAATTCTGCCACTTCACAGATTCCAGATGAAGACTACCAAGAACCTGTTTACGAATTGGATGTCTCACATGAGGCGGCAACTAAAACTGGTGGTAGAAATATCTGTTATAGTGAATCCATGAAGTTCAATAATGCAATGGTGGTAAGAAGGGCTAAAGATTCTGTTGAACTTCAAACACACAAGTTTGATTCATATGGTTTTAATGAAGGTACCTCAGGAAAAGTACGGATACCTGGGTTAACTACATGTGAGGATGCATTATTAGATGATACTGAAACTAAACTACAACTTCTCAGTATAGATGATCAGAAACTATACGAGTATGACATAGATTATGGAAAGGTGGTACAGGAACACAAACTTCCTGAAAAAGTAACGGCAATAACATACAGTGCTCACGTTGCTGATCCAGTGCCAGTGTATACTTGCCTCACTGATAACGTCGCCTTTAACGTGGACTGTCGGATGGACCCTCGTAAAAATATTGTCATGGAACCTGGTTGTACACTGGATAAATACAGACTAACATCATTAAAGAAACCATTTACCTGCCATGCAACCACGAGGGATGGACACCTTGTCATTGGTGATATGATGGGAAGTATTCGTCTGTACCGTGGTCCTCCAGGCAGTCGTCGGAAAGATGGCAAATACAATCCAAAGGCAGCTCAGACACTGTTAGAGACTAAGGTACCAATTGTTGCAGTGGACGTGACGGCAGATGGAGCCTATGTTGTGGCGGTGTGTGAAAAGTTTTTATTATTTATGCCTACTGCGTATGTGGATGACCGAGGCGAGAATACGACTGGGTTTGTCTCAAAAATGGGTAAGAAGAAGCCAACACCGTTAAAATTGCAACCAACATCAAAGCAGCTTGCAGTACTTGGAGGTATTGAAAAACTGGATTTTGTTTCTGGTGGGTTTGATCGCTATGAGAATGGTGGACGCGAGGTTTGCATAACTGCTTACAGTGGAAACTACATCTTCACATGGAGTCTTGAGGCTGTAAAGCGGGCTGAGGAGAATGGACGCGCGTGTCTTGGTGAAAGTGCCCTTGTGAGAAATGATGTCATTGGCGTTTCAGCCCATATTCCAGATAAACTAATGTACTTGACTGACTCTGATATCTGTATGGCTCCTTTGAAGTTACACGAGCGTACAGAGAGGGGATCAAGGCGTTATGCTTATTTGTGAAGACCAGCGAAATTCTGCGCAAACCATTTAACTAATAGTTGATGGGGAATTATAAAATATCAGGTGCGTCATTTCCCTATTTGTTCGGGGTTATTGTTTTTTTTTTTTTTTTGTTGTTGTTGCTGTTGCTGTTGTTCTTCCCTACAGCCAATTATTCCTCCACACTATGAATTGGAGGTGGGTTAAAAGATGCTTTTGGTACCTTTACTTGGTCAGTAACTATTGCTTGTAGTGAATTAGGGGACGTGTTGGACTTGCGGCTATTTTGTGTTTTAAATACATGAATTACTAAAGAGAATGGTAAAAGGAAAGAAAAATAAGAATAAGAACAGAAAAAAAAAAAA